GTTTCGTCGTCTGGCGTCTATTTCTTTTTAACTTGCTGCTACGTATCCTTCTTTTATTGGCTTATTTGTACCCAATTACATCATGGACTACTAGTCAAAAGTAATAGAATGTTTTCTTATGCGTTGATCTCGTGCAAAATTACATACATACATATACAATAAGGAAAAACTAATTCTAGCTAAAGTTAAGTCTCAAGAAAAGAAAGCAGTAAAAGTACTGTAAAAGTACAAAGTACAAAGTACAAATTCATTGTTAAGATATAGCTATGCAAAGATGAAATTGATTTGCTAAGATTGCGAATATATTGGGATTGCTCTATGTTGATATTTTTCCATATTTGTAGGAACATATCTCATTAGTACTCCCTCTCAAGCTAGAGTATGAAAGTTTTGAATGCCCAACTTGCTACAAAGGAAAGAAAATGTGTCCTTGCCTAGCAATTTGGTGAAAATGTCAACAGGTTGTTACGAGGAAGGAATGGGCAACAAATGAATTACCTTGAGTTGAAATTTTTCTTGAACAAAATGACAATCAATTTCAATATGCTTGGTTTGTTCACGGAACATTGGGTTTGCAGCTATGTGTCTTGCAACTTGATTGTCACAATATAGTGGTGTAGACTAAGGCAGAGGAATACCAAAATTATGCAGGAGCCTTTGTAGCTAGATTACTTCTTTGGTAATGGTGGCCATGGCACGATATTTAGCCTTAGTAGAAGAGAGTGAGATAGTGTTTTGTTTCTTGCTTTTCCATGAAATAGGGCTATTACCAAGAAAAATACAATAGCCTGTGGTAGAACGATAGGTGGTGATACAACTAGCCCAATCAGAATCACAAAATGCCATTAGTGTAAGAGAACTTGCTGAGGAGAATAATATACCTCGCTTTGGAGTCTTCTTTAAGTACCGAAGTAGTCGGAATGTAGCATCTAGGTGTGGTTGCCGTGGAGATTGGATGAATTGGCTTAAAATATTCATAGCAAAGGAAATATTAGGTCTGGTGATAGTAAGATATATAAGTCTACCGACAAGACGTCGATATATGGAAGGATCATCTAACAAGGGTCCATCACAATTTGTGAGTTTAAGGTTTTGTTCCATTGGTGTTTCTGCAATTATGCTCCCTAGTAATCCAGCATCATTAAGTAGATCAAGTATATACTTTCGCTGATTGAGGTAAATGCCTTGTGGAGAACGAGCCACCTCAATGCCAAGAAAATGTTTAAGTGGTCCCAAATCTTTAATTTGAAATTGGCTCAACAGAAATTCCTTGACAAGACCAGTGAGATGAGGACTATTTCCTGTGATTACCATGTCATCCACATAGACTAGTATGTAAATTCAGGCTGACCCACAAGTAAGTGCAAATAGAGAATAATCTTCATAGGATTTAGTGAAACCCAGATCAAGTAGAGCATGTGAGAATTTTGCAAACCAATTGTGAGATGCCTACTTCAAGCCATAAAGAGATTTGTGCAATCTACATACAAGTCCACGCTCCCTTTTTTGAGGATGTCCGGGCAGTAGAAACATATAGACTTCCTCATGTAAATCACCATGTAAGAAAGCATTTTGAACATCTAGTTGATGTAAAGGCCACTGGTGTATAGTTGTAATTGCCAAAAGAACTCATACAGTCACAAGTTTGGCTATGGGTGAAAAAGTATCATGGTAATCAACACCCTCAATCTGTGTAAATCCTTTGGTAACAAGTCGAGCTTTATATCTTTCAATGCTTCCATCAGAATTTTGTTTGATTTTGTAAACCCATTTTCATCAAATGGGCCTTTTATCAGCAGATAGAGGAACAAGAGACCATGTGTGGGCGTTTTCAAGAGCATCAAGTTTAGCTTGCATAGCCTGCTTCCACTTAGAAAACTAAACAGCTTGGTTATATGTAGTTGGTTCAATTTCACATGACAAGGAGTTAAGGAAGGCATAATGACTATTAGAGAACCGAGAATAGGATAAGAAATTATCAATTGGAAATTTTGCACCTGGATTCAAAGAAGTTGATTGGCCAATAGCATTGAAGCAATGATAATCCTTATATCTTGCAGGTGGTTGAATATGACGTTGGGATCTTCTTAATGTTGGCAAAGTGTCATTTGGAAGGGCTTGATCAGTTGGTGGTTGAATGGTGTTTTGAATGGCAGTAGGGGATGAGACATGTGTTGTATGACCTAAAGCTTGTGGTCCCAACAAGGAAGGATTTGATAAGTCTTGGTCATGTATTGGAAGAGGTAAGGACTTGTCATCCAAGGCTATAGGGGCAGAAGGAAAAATGTTTCATGAAAGACTACATCACGACTAACATAAAGTTTTGTGTTTTGATGTCAAAAAATTTATAACCCTTTTAGCCAAAAGGATAACCAATGAAGATGCCAAGATGGGCACGATGATCAAATTTGTGTTTGACATGAACATTACATCCAAAACACAAGCACCCAAAAACACATAAATGAGTATAGGTTGGTGCCTTATGGAAAAGTAATTCAAATGGTGTTTTACCATTAAGTATTCTAGGTGGGGTTCGATCAATGAGATATGTAGCAGTGAGTATGCATTCACCCCAAAAGTTAAAAGGAAGTTTTGATTGAAATCAAAGCTCCTTGGCCATATTTAACAAATGTCTATGCTTGCGTTCCACTACCCCATTTTGTTGAGGTGTAGCAACACAACTATATTCATGAATCACACCATGAGAGTTAAGAAAATCATTAATGGCATGACTAAAAAATTCAGAACCATTGTCACTACGAACTCTATGTATGGTGGTACTAAACTATGTTTGAACCATGAGAAAAAAATTTTAAATATACTAATGTTTGTGATTTATGTTGCATTAAAAAGACCCAAGTGTTGCGAGAAAAGTCATCTACAATAGTTAAGAAGAAATGTGCTCCTGTAAGAGATGGGGTAGAGTAGGGACCCCAAATGTCCAAATGAATAAGATCAAAACAATTATTTGTTGAGATAGAACTATTTGAAAATGATAGACGAGTTTGCTTTGCAAGTGGACACACAGTACAAGGACATTTATTGGAAAATAAAATTTTATTGTCTAAGTTATGAAAGGAAGAAGAAGTACTATAGCTTGGATGTCCAAGTCTACAATGCCAAGTATCCATTTGAGTTGAAGTTGCAGTAAGAGAGATATTTGGAGAAAGGTTGGTCTTGGTGTCAGCAGGAGAACTAGTTGGAGAGACATTGGTCTTGGTGTCAAGATAATAAAGCCCATCACGCTCCCTCGCCAAACCAATCACCTTCTTCGTCACCAGGTCTTGCAAAATGCACAAATTAGGTAGAAAAAGGACAGAACAATTAAGAGATTTTATGATTTTGCTAATGGAAAGCAAATTGAATTTGCACGAGGGTACATGTATAACATTGTCCAGATGTAAAGCTGAATTGAAACAAGGTTAAATGCTAAATTTGGTCCCTCAACTTTAGTGAGTTGCACATTTTTGGTCCCTTAACAATTTTTTGCACTTTTCTGATCCCTCAACTATACGAAATGCACTCCGTTAGTCCTTCTGTTAATTTCGATCGTTAACTCGCTTACGTGGCATTTTTTATAATTTTTTTGATGACGTGGCAAAAACAAATTGAAAACATGTTAGACGTGGAATTTTTTTTATGCCAACTCACCTTATTCTTATTTATATTTTTTTTTAAAAAAATAAAATAATTCCTTCATTTTTTCCTTTCTCTTTTTCTCTTTTTTTCTTCCTCTTCTTTCTTCTTCTTCTTCCTCTTCTTCCTCGGGTTATTGAACCCTCTGCTGGGTTCCAGCGAACCCAAATGTGGGTTCGATGGAACCCAGCATTGGGTTCCAACGAACCCAGAACCCAGCTTCACTTTTTTTTTTTTTTGGTGTTTATATGATTGTTTGCAAAGAAATTATTTTCAAATTGCAAGTTGTTGCGAGGGATTTTTAGACAATTGAGTTCAATGAATTGAGCTGGGTTCGATGGAACCTATTTGTTGGATTACATCGAACCCAGATCTGCTGGATTCCGTCGAACTTCATAAGGGATGGGCAAAGAAGCAATTGTTAGTAGTGATGTGGGACCCACTTAGATGAATTCGGTGTATTTTCGCCAAGTAGCATGTGAGACGGCAAAAGTTGCATGCGTGTCATCACTTTTTTAAGTTTTGCCTTCCACATCATCAAAAAAAATATAAAAAATGCCACCTAAGCAGGGTTAACAGCCCAAATTAACAGAAGGACTAACGGAGTGCATTTCGTATAGTTGAGGGATCAAAAAAGTGTAAAAAATTGTTGAGGGACCAAAAATGTTCATTTCTTAAAGTTAAGGGACCAAATTAAGCATTTAACCTTGAAACAAATAGAACCAGAATGAGTCACAGGTACTAAACTTCCATTAGGTAATTTAATAAGTGATCCAATGTAGGTTTTGGTGTTGTTTAAAGAATCTAAACTACAGGTAATATGAGTAGTGCAACCAGAATCAACGATCCAAGGACTATTAAAATAAGAGATGTTACCTGCCATATTGACTAGAGGATTGGAGAAGGCTGAAAGGTTTGGTTGAAGGAGGGTAAGAAGTTGCTTAACCTGTTCTTGAGTGAAAGGCAAACTATGATCTACTCCTAATGTCCCTTGGTCAACAATCGCAACAACATGCTTATTCTAAGATTCACCACCATTCCAATTCTGCCTTGGCACATTAGACTCTCGTTGGACACGAGTATCACGCTGGGTATTGAAATTTTAAAAGTTTCCTGGTTTCTTCTAGCACCTAGACTCTGAGTGTCCATCCATACCACAAAAATCACAATGATAAAAGGGCCTTCCAGATCTGTACCTGATGGATTGATTTAGGTGGGTTCCTTGAAAGGATCCTTGCACATTGGTTGCAGCCATGGCTGACTGCTCTAGATGTGGAGATAGAGCGATAGTGTGAATTAACCTTTGTCTTTCATCTTGCAAAGCCAATGATAATGCTTTTATGATAGTTGGTAGAAGATTCATTAACAAAATCTGGCTTCTTAGGTTGCTATATGATTCATTGAGACCCATGAGAAACTACATTAGTCGATACTGTTCTTTTAGTGAATGAATCTTTGAGGTGGCACCACAAGTGCATGATGGATATGGATTATGTGTTGCTAACTCATCCCATAATCCCTTTAATGCTGTGTAATAGGTTGTGACTGAATTGTTTTGTTGAGAGTGATTTACAATCATCCTTTGGATTTCAAATATGCATGGGGCGTTGTGTTGTGAAAACTGATCCCTCAAATCTATCTAGACGGCACGGGCTGTTTTCATGAAAACCACACTATTTGCTATGTCCTTTGAGACAGCATTCAAGATCCAAGAAAGGACCATACTATGGCATCGACTCAAAATGGAGAAGGAAAGTGATCGAGCAGTTGGTTCTTTGATTGTACCATTAATAAATCCAAGTTTGTTCTTTGCTTCAAGGGCCATGGTAATAGCTCGACTCCATGTGGCATAATTTTTGCCAATCAAAGGCTATGAAACAAGCACAGTGCCTGGACTGTCAGAATGATGTAGATAAAAGGGAGAAGACAAATTTGTTTCAGTGTTGGTTGAAGGCATGGTTGAATCCGTGGTGGATTTTGCTGCTTTGGGTGTATCTACTGTTGACATAGTGAAAAAGACTTTTAAGGTTTTGAAAGAAAAAGAAAAGGAAAGAAGAAAACCTGCTCTGATACCATGTCAAAAGTAATGGAATGTTTTCTCATGTATTGATCTCATGCATAATTACATACATATATAAAGCAAGGAAAAATTAATTCTAATTAAAGTTAAGGCTAAAGAAAAGGAAGTAGTAAAAGTAGAAAGTACAAATTCATTGCTAAGATACAAACATGTAAAGATGAAACTGATCTGCTGAGATTGCTGATATGTTGAGATTGCTCTATGCTGATATTTCTCTATAACTGTAGGAACATATCTCGCTAATACTATTCTCTTCAAAATGTAATAAATATATTTTTTATAATTAATTTATATAAAAATAAAAATTAATTTTTATTTTAATATTATTATTATTATGTAAATAATTTTTATTAATTAATTAAGTTTAAATTAATTTTTATTATTTTCATATATATTAAGTATAAAATAACATATTTATTATATTTTTATCATGTACTCTAATTACACAAGATAAAAACTTCTTTTTAGATATCCTGCAATTAATTATTTGTTTTGGTCGTCTGATTGGCTGACATGGTCTATCCTCTATCCACCACCACCAAAAATATAAATGGCGAGTCCTTATAACTCCCACAAAAGCCCTAACACAGTGTTTTTTTATTGACTTTCGTGTCATTTCCACCATTTTTACAAACGCCCATCAGTGTTCACAGTTCACACATTTTTGGCCCACCCTCGGATCTTCGTTTTGCCATTTATGCCCTTTTAACAGTTCATTTTCTATGGGCAAAGAGTCATTTCACGCAAATTGGCGAAAGGTTCTCTTGTCGCCGGCCTGTTCACTGGGGGCCATGCCAGCTTCTGCCCTTTTTGCCCCTCATCTCTGGTTCTATTCATCGGCCTTTTTCGTCATTTCACCCCATGATTTCGAATAAGAAAACGGCGTTTGTTTCCTTATTTCCGAAAAGGTCCCTCATTCTTCAACTGTTGGATTGACTCTTTTGGTAATTTCGTCACCCTTTAGATGCTCCTTCCAGTATTCCTAGACTGTTTTTGAACTATTTCTAGACTGTTCTCCACCGGCCGTTAGCGCTCCGTTTAGGGGTTGTTCTCTTCCAGCAATTCACTTTGTTCCCCGCGTTTCGTGCTGGCTATTCGGCACGATGGGATTGAGAGAGGTGGCAAGCTGTGGGGAGAGGAAAAGATAGGGAGATCAGGAAGAGGAAGTAGGCAACAAAAGAGGAGGAAAATTGTGTATCAGAGAAGAAATGGGAGATCTACGACAACAACTAAGGAATCGGGGTAGAGTTGTGGGACGTTACGATTTCAATGGGTGACATGAGTGTGGTCGCGGAGGCTGGCAGAGAGAATAGATTTTGGTAGAGCGTTGCCGAGAGAGGTGGTGATGGAGAAGAGACAGAAGCGATACCTATGCGAGAGCAACTGCGGAGAAAATCCTATATTATTTCATCGTAGTGATAGGTGACTTAGAAAAAAAATTCACTTCCATTTTGATTAAATGTGAATTTTGATCGCTTGACTTTAAGAATTACATCATTTTCTTCTTTGAAATTATTTATTTATTTTTTTAATTTT